CATAATGAGAGTAATCTAGACTCAAACGTTACTCATTATTGATTTGCTTTTACGTCTGTAATTTGAAATAGAATTGTTTATTTTGCAAAGTCGGTACAACTTTTCTGGGAAATATTGACGTCACAAACTATTTTAGTAACACATTTCATCCTCCGCTTCCAGGTGCTCGGTTGTGCCTGTATTTGATTAAGGCTTCAATGAAACGAGATGTTATTCTCCGTAAAGAGTATGTTTACTTGTATAGTTGGTGTCAATTTGCCACTGGAATGTCAGTTACTTTGACATGTCTACTTACTGGGAGGTGTTAAGTTAGCTCGATTTTCGTTTTTCGATATTGGTGAAAATCGAAAAATGAGCTACTCGTTTTTCGATATTGGCGAATAACGAAAAACAACTAGCTCGTTTTTCAATATTGGAGAATGCCGAAAAACAAACTACTCGATCGTTTTTCAATATTCAAACTTGAATCTCGTAAAAGCAGATTTAATGGATGTATACCAAATCACATTTGATATAAAAGTTTTCTAAAATGAGCTAAAAATATCATAAATGATTCACATAAAAAATGCTCTTTCTCCTTGTGTTTTTTTTTCGATATTGGCGAATTGATAATATCTTTACTTCGTTTTAGATAACTTATTTAATCAAATGTGTTTTAGAGACATTCTGTACATATCCATCTATTAAAATATCTGCTTTTTCGAGATTCAAGTTTGAATATAAAAAAAAACAAGGAGAAGGGGCATTTTTATGTGAATCCATTGTTCAGGCATCCCCTTTTATTATATCTTTAGTTCGTTTTAGAAAACTGATTTAGCTGGTTTTTCCATATTCACCAAGATCGAAAAACGAAAAACGAAAATCAAGTTAACTTCACACTGCCTGCTTACTGTTCGTCTGGGTTTTTTTTGTATTTTATTTATCATTAGGATTAATGATACTCCAATGCTTTTTGAAATATACTACCAAATGCATCAGTACATGTATATCAATATTTATGTCTGAGACAGCCCGGAAAAATGTTTCGAATGTGTCAAGGTACCTTTATATCACTCATGTTTGAATTCACAGATCAACTGATCTACCAGAAAGAGACAAACTGATTTACTATCATTAGTTAGCAGAAAATAATTAGTTTGATGTCAGTCACTCATCGTCAAGATAAACCACGGTAATCGACAGAATAGTACTGAAGATAGCAGACTAATGATTTCACAGATTTTACGATATGGTTTCTCTATCAGTAAATCGTGTTAGAGATCCTATACCTTCTTTTCATTGGTAAACAATAGATATTGTGATCCGATAAGGGCCCCCTCTCTCCAACATTAGGACATGCATGGTTTCCGTTTCAGGGGAATGGAGTCATACCTTAATTAAAAGAACTATATTCGATATTTAATTAAATATTAAGAAATGTACTAGGTTATATTATACTGTTGTTGACGCTGATAAATCGTTTCAGGTGGTTCGGTTTATTTATAATTAAAATAGTTGGATCACGATTCGTAAAATTTCTATTTTAATTACATTGATACCATTAGTATCTGCACGCGAGATCAGTGATTTAATGGTCTAAGGGATAGACGACTCCCTACATCAGTTTTCTTTGGTAAAAAATAAGCCAAATGACAAAACCTGAAGACAAATCAAGAGGGGGGAAAAGTTCAGAAACTTTAAAACTAAAAATATTTTGGTTATGTTGTGAACATTTTCTCAGAAATATTGCCTACCAGCTGTTGTCCTTGCTCATTATTAGTTAGCTCCAACTGGTAAATTAAATTTCTCGTTGTCATTATACCTGAATGTATTTTTTAAGTGTATTTAGTAACCGAATAAGAATAACAATGACACAATGGAATGCAGTTACATAAAAGATTTATGTCTAGAGACAAAACGTTGTCAGAAAATAATTCCTTTAAGTAACTTGTGTTATACCTGAATGCCAGCGTTACAAGTCATTGACTCAAAAACAAATCACGAATCTCAGGTGTCACCTGTTGGAGAAGATGTTGCGGACCAAATTAGTCCCAGCCGCACCGAACTATTGTGTTTACGAGATATCAAACCCCATTCCTTTTCCATTAAACGCATACTGAGTATTAAACATTTATCTTTAAAAACACTAGCATTACTCTTCAAGGATCTTCGCAAAACGGGACAACACAGTGTCCTGCTTATTCCAATTCAATTACTAAATGTCATTGAAACATAATTGTAAAATTACAGTACCAGTCATTCTGTAAAGGATTTTTACTATCACTATGATTGTCACCAAAATAATAAAAGTAAGAACTTGTTCTGAAGCCCCCACGGAACGGCGTTTGGCACGCCTTAGGATGTAACAGTAATGATGATGGTGATGATGATGATGATGCTGATGTGTGTGTAACATAGCTTTATTTAACGCCCGCTTCCACCAACGTAGCTGATGATGATAAGAGATTGGTATATTTGTAGATCAATGTAAGTTCGGGATTACATGAGTGTCATAATACCTTGTCATGTCGAAGATGGATTATTAAACATGCGGATGCGGACAGAGAGTAGTGTAAAAAAACACAGTTTTCCCATTAATGTACTGGTGTGAATCAAGTATTCCACGTCCATTCTTCTTTATTGATTAAACATCTATGTATAATATACCTCTAAATGAATGGATGTCTTGCAAGATATGTTACATGTATATTTTATAAGCTTCAGTTAATTGACGACATCGATACCACTAGAGATACTTAGCTGAACCCGGGAACCACAAAAAATAAAAACTATAGTCGAATAACGTCATGTATATACGTATGCGATAGGAATTGATAATTGCAACATTTATCATTATATTACAGATGCATACCTTTAGCACTGGGGATTCGAAATAATCGCAACCGTCATAGTTTTAAGAGATCGATCCTCAGAAGTATTGATGTGGATATTTCGTATTCAGGTTTTAAAGAATCAGGTTTCTCTTTGATAATTCCTATTTTCAAGGTAATTAAGAGTTAAGGCTAATCCGAAACAAATCATCTTTAGTGCAAATTAAGCTTTAACTTCGAAGAATGCAATGAACACTCCCTGTCAGAATATAATCCTAGCAGTGAAATATAAGACATTTTTATTATTATTATTATTATTATTATTATGTACATATATACTGAATAAATAGTGAACTTACCTATAAACACATTAATTAGTGCAATAATTGCCATTGAACCTCACTGAAGAGAGTGTACTAATGTAACACATGTTATTAATAGATTTCAATGTGAATTGATAATTACATGTATATGTACGTTGAGGGCGATTAATGCCAAGAAAGTACCTTACGTGATTAACACCACAATGTACCGGGTGGTTATTGACTGTGGAGAAAACAAACTAAGGTGGCGGCGTGACATCAATGGAAGTAATGGAAACTTTTCATTGTTTTGAACAATTTTTGTGGTCTCAAAGTTTTTATGTGCCCCTCTAGTCTGGTATATACTAAATAGTTTGTTCTCGTATTTATTAAGTTTATTATTCAGAAATTCTTTTAATTTATGTTTACAGGCCCGTGGCTAGCCCAAAAATGTTGGGGGGGGGGGGACTTCTGGTGGCGCCGATGGGGCTTCTGAGTGCGCCGATGTACCTACACTTGACGGTCCACGGCGAACGGCACCGTGGAGGAGAAACCTCTTCGCAGAAGGAGGGTCTAGGGTGCTATCCGCCCGTGAAATTTTGGAAAATACGGTTTACACCTAAGGAGAGGAACTATGAAAATGACGGAAATTTTCAATTTTGAGGCTGAATTTTCGATAATATCTCTGAAACACTCGGGTTAGGCAAGAACATGATACTAGCAGTAGTTTAAAATTTATTTTACTTTTACAAAGTTCTTAACACAATTGTTTCTAAATTCAATTTCTTGTTCCAGCTCTCTGTTATGTTTCGTAAAAAAAGTAGTCTTGATTATCCCGGTCTGTCAATCAGACGTAAAATGGTCGGTAGACTGGTTAAGCGACACTAATTTCAAAACAAGGGCACGTAAGCTATTTTTTACTCAAAAGTGCCCGGATGTTATGGCCGGTTAAATGGTCATAGCTTATTAAGTACAACATGGCCGTTTATTAAGTGGCTATAATTGTGCCAAACTGATTTAAGGCTTGGTATATATATAAATATTGTGGGGTAATTGTCTAGATATTTGGAGATATTTAATTATGGTGGGGCACCCTATATCATACAATATTGTTTCATTTTTTAATTTAAATTTAAGGAAACCTCATAATCCTCATTTATCTTCTTGATCATGGTATGAGCTACACCATTTTTTTTATCGAATTATTCAATAAATTATAGTAATTAGTATCATGGTTTATGTTAATATTAGAAATCTATAAACCTGGACTTCTTTTTTCATTCAAGATAATTCAACAATTCAAGGTTCAGTCCCTCAATCCATACTTTCCCCAAACCCAATCAGCGTTTTTACAGCACGTCTCTAATAATATATATTTATTGAAAATATATTTGTTTTAAAATCAGCACTAGAAACGCAACAACTTGGAAAACGTGCCTTTTCTTATGCTGGCCCTTTTCTATGGAATAGACTACCATGATCAATAAAACAATCACCGTCTGTGGGCCATTTTAAATCTCAACTCAAAACATTCCTATTTCAAAACCCTGATCTGTAAATAATCAGTGAATATAAAAACCATGCAACAGCGCCTTAGAAACTGTTTTCTTCAGTATTAACGCGCTTTATAAATGACGATATTATTATTATTATTAACACTTATGACTACTATTTTCCTCTTCATTTCTGCATTTCTTTCTATTTCTCAATTTCACAACATCATCATCATCAGTATTATAAATATCCACTTCATTAGTATCTAATATTTCATGTTTTCTTTCTTGAGAGATAGACATTCTTTCAAGGGCGCCATTTTGGCTAATCATTACTTCCCTGACAAAAACATCTGCAGATTCCTCGTTAAGCGGTTCTTCTTCCATTAGGTTTGGCGTTCTTTGTTTCCTTAACACTAAAAAATATCATACGCACACGTCAACATGGCTAGTAATAATATACTAGTATATATACTTGTGTATTTCACTGTAATTGCTGAAGTTTATGGTAAGTAATAAAATTATTTGATGTAGTTATAGACTTCGTGTGGCTATTTACCGTCGCCTTCTTACATGAAGTCAAATACTTCTGAAATATACTCAGGTGATTGCGGATGTTATTTAGCTGTTGGTGCCACATTATGCAGTCTGGGTTTGGTGATGCCGCTCTGCTTTCTTCTTTCTTTTTCGTTCCTTGTCATTTTGTGTTTCCCACTTTTTTACACTGGTTCATGGCAGCTCTTTATTTTTTTTCGTTTGCTCTATTATATATATATATATAGTAGAATAGTTAATTAAAGCTTTGAACTTGATTCGTTGTTGAACTGGGAGCCAATGTAGATTTTTCAGAATCGGGGTGATGTGGTCTGATTTTTTTTACTTGTCAAAACTCTGGCGGCAGCATTTTGAATTCGTTGAAGGTGTTGAATTTGATAATTCGGAAGGCCATAAAATAAGGCATTATGATAGTCTAGTTTATTTGTAATGAATGAATGAATGAGGAGTTTTATACTCTCAGCATTTAGATATTTTTTTATTTTGTTAATTCTGTGAAGATGGAAATAAGAAGAGGAACAAACAGATTGGATGTGGGAGCTAAAGGACATTGTGGAATCTAGAACTGAACCGATGTTTTTGGCTTCTGGAGATCGAGCAAGACTTTCGTGTTGAAATTTAAGAGGTGGTATTGAGAATCTACTAAGTTGTTGTTTTGTTCCAATTACCAGATACTCAGTTTTTCAGGATTTAGTTTCATGTCATCCATAACCTGATTTATTCCAGACAGTTTTCAATATTACTTAAAGCTGAAGTAGTGGATTGTTGTTTGAAGGAAGCATATATCAGCATACAAGGGAATATTAAGACCAAACTTTTCAGCGATTTTAGTTAATGGTCGGGTGAAGATAATGAACAGTACAGGGCCTAGAACTGACCCTTGGGGCACACCACACATCATTGGGACCTTAACAGATTTGACGTTATCGATCTTGACACATTGTTGTCTGTTTTCAAGGTATGCTCGGAACCGGCTTAAAACTGTGCCCCGAGCCCCTATTTCTTCCTGTAGAGCTTGGAGAAGGTCTTCGACATCAAGAGTATCAAAGGCAGCCGATAGGTCCAAAAGTATCAGCAAAATACATTTTTGATCATCAATAGTTATTAATTGTTAGAGTATTAATTGAACTATTGTTTAATAAATGCCTGAAGATCCGCTATCGCGGTGAAAACGTTAGCATAAAAATGTAGTTTTATTTTGCCATCTTTACTTTCAATTATATATTACCAAAGAGCAGCTTTAATTATCTATTCGACTATATAAACTGATAAAAAAAAACAAGCAGTATTAAATCCATGTGCACACCTGACGCCTGTTATTGATAAATCAAAGTTGAGACAACACTTGATTACTGTAAATGTTTCAGCTCTTGATGAATGTAAAGACACGAAAAATGTACCGGTATGTAAAGAAAATGAGAAATATTGTTTCAACGCACCCTCCACATGGAGAATTTTCATGGAGAAAGTGTGTATGTCTACCTGCAGATATTGTATAACAGGTAAATTATATACTATATTAATGTTCTTGTTTTCAGGTAATATAACATGTCTTTAACTACTATTGTTATAATTTTTGTCGTTGGTTGTTTCCGATACTCACAATAGTATCGGGTGCAGGGCAGAATATACTTACTCTTTCTAGATGCCTTCATACTTCTTCACTATTGTGATAGTAGGCCTAAACTCTCATTTAGAAATTCCTTTTACTTTAAATTAATTGATTTTGTACAGGAACACCCCTTCTTAGAGAGGAAATTTAAAGCAGTGATTATCAGAACTATGTTGTAGATTTATATTTTAACCAATTGGTACATGTTTGTCTAATTGTAACATGTACTCGTCATGAGCTTTAACGTTACATCAAGTTAGCAACAGGTTCTAATAATCTACTTGAAAGTGGGCTGACATCTCTGACAAGCGATATTTTACACACAAATACAATAGGCACCCAACAACTACTATAATACATCCTTGACAATAACGCGAATGTTGCAGCTGAAATGTTAGAGAATGTACTTATCACATTGCTATAGCTTCTAGCAGGACCTGTGAACATGATTGTAAATCCATAGCCCCCCCCCCCCCCTAACACGCACACACACCACCACCAAATTAATTGTTGACTCACTATTAGTTCCACATCTAATGTGTTAAACATGCGACAAAGGACATGAATCTTAGGCTGTCGACTGTTGAGAAACGTGGTTTTGAGAAGTCGACACGTACATGAAGTAGACCAATGGAAACACTGATTAATGAATTGGTAATGCTCGTAACAACTACTTTAAGAATATGGTTGTACAGCTTTGACGTGGCTTCAAGAAGAGATATATTACTAAAACATATAATATAACGGTGATAGTATGTTGACGGTTTACACTGATTGTAGTAATAACTGAGACTGAATAAGAAACGATAACCTTTTCGTGATTAAACACCCCATTGAATAGACTGTTCTTCAATTTGATTAATTTAAGCTGCTATTAATATTTCAGAAAATGTAGCTATAGGCAGGAATACCACGCAGAGCTCATATTCTGACCAGATTGTATATAATTCATTTAATGCTGTAGATGGTGAAAGTCACGATAAATATGGATCTTGCTCACTTACAAATACACGTAATCGTATGAAATCATGGTGGTGTGTTGATTTACAGAAGCAATATAAATTCAAAGAAATCCGTGTTTATGGCGGCACTAATGGTAATAAATGTTTCGTATATTCATATAAGTACATTTAGATTATTTTTGGTATGCTGTACACTGTTAATATATTGTCTATCTACGCGCTGTGCATAGGGGATCACTAATCAATTAATAGTTTTAATACTAACGGTCTTTTCCTGATTAGGGCTAATTCATCGTTTAAAATAATGTATATGTTTAAATAAACATTATGCAACAGCTAAATCTACCTATTGCAGGTCTTTCTTTCGGCCTGAAATATTATGTAAACTATATATTAGACATTTTTTAACATGAAAAGACTAGATCAACTCTCGATGCCATCTTATGTGTGTGATTTTCACTGGCTGGATTTGAATCCGATCTGCTGCTCAACGTTCCTTGATGATTAAATCCAAAGATGGATAATCGGGATGCTTTTTATCGTACCGACTTAAGTAATGATGATCGGCGCTATAGGTCTAAAATTCAATCGATAATATCTCGGTTCAGAGTGGAGCAATTTGACTGAAATTTTCAGCATATTCGTTTTAGATTATCAAGTTTTTAACTATTATAGTGAAAACTGCCAACTCTTTATCTAATCTCCCATAATGTCCTTTTAATATATTGTCACCCAATGGAGGATTGAACGTGGGCATGGGCATTATTGTAGGGTGTATTTGAGATTGTAAAAATACATGTAAGTCGTGTAGAATTTCCTTTTATGAAACAGACAGGAAATAATTAAAACAACTTCAGAAACTTTTCCATTTACAGTAATTGTTTCGGTTTCATTGTATACATTTTGATATTTTATATAATTAAGTTCTGCTCTACTTTATAATTCATTTATTAACTTTTCCAAAGTTGTAAACTTCAGATTTTTTACCATCGACAGTTTTGTTTTAACTGATCAGAGGCAACATGATCTGAAGAAATCAATTCACACACGAGGCGAAGGGCTAATAACGAAACTAAAAGTCTCAATGATGCCCCGAGTCATAAAATCTAGCTAGAGCCCAACTGCTACAACGCGATCGATCAATTGAGTCGGCCTTTTTCCGGAAAAAATCGATATCAGGCCTTAGTCAACTCGGATGAGAAATTATCATCGTTGGATACTATACAAAATGGGTACGACACGGTACTGGCTTCCATGCAAGCTACGACATAGAAAAAGTAGTTTAAGAAACCTGTAAATAAAAACAACAAATAAATAACAATAATTAATGATAATAAATAACTATAGAACATTCAGTTTAAATTGATTTTTTAATAATGTCCATTTGTTTAGATGATTTCGAGCCATCTTGAAAATATGCTAAATGGGGGATCGTATAACCAAGTTACGCCTTTTTAATGGCACGAATGGAATCTGTGATCCTATAACCTATATATTGACAGTGCCAAATCACAAATGATAAGTCGATAGCATTATTGAAAATCAAAACAATATGTTTGGATATTTGTGTAAAATGGTAACTCGTAAAATAATGGCGTAACCTACCCAGAAAAAAATGTCAACGTTGATTTTGTGTCATTAAACATATAAGCCTTCAAAATTAAGCCCACGTGCGTGCTGTATCATAAGGCCTGTCATTGAGTCAACTGGCGTGGTGTCGAATCCCCGGTTGTACGTGACAAGGAGTAGAGTCGCCTTCCAACCTCGTGGGTTTTCTCCGGGTCCTCCGGTTTCCTCCCACTGCTAAAGACCCCATCGCGCAAGCGAATTATTGAAATAAAATTGAACGATATGTTAGTCCCGAAATGACCTGGTTTGTGTCGAGTGGATGTTAAACCCCATTTCTCTCTCTCGCTCTCTCTCAAAATTAAGCCTATTTCATGATTTCACCAAGTCTACAGATTTACAGATTTACAACCAACACGAACTGTTTAAACTGTGGTTACTCTAGTCGGCGTTCTGGAATACGACTCAAAATATTTATGCGTTTCATGTGTATTTGATTACTTTGATATTGCTAATTTGTGTAATTGAATCTCAGAAATGATTACTGTTCGTTAGGACAGCTCCTTCCATTAAATGTCCGATTTATTAATTATCAAAAATAAATTAATAAGACACAATATGAAAGTTATTTTTCAAAAACCACGTGACATTTTATTCCGACATCTACCTAAGCATGTCATTTTCTTTCTAAATTTTAAATATTTAACAGGGAGATAAACACCGTCCGTTTCAAATTTAGAGGGGTGCAATAGCCATGTCCTGAGATCATTAGGACCCAAGACGCGTTACTAAAATTAAATTTAGCTATGCAAGATCAGCCTAATGCAGCCCAAAACTGCGACTGTGCCTGGAAAAAATGTCCATAACAATCCTTATAAGGATAACTCCTTGAGTTTTAAAACTTATAATTTATTGATAAAATCTAATGTTTTACAGCATTATACACATTGTTACCTATTAGTGGTTTTTCATTATAAATATCATACAAGGTTACCCATAGGTTTCCATGAAAACCATTTTGAGGTGTTCAGTTTGGGTGCTAACATCGAAGGCATGATATTAGTCCACCGTGATTGACCCAAAATTAGAGAGTGGGTGCTTAATTTCAGCTAATCAAAATTGAGAAAATTCCTGATTTTTGCTACATTTTAAACTAAATATTTATAAGTTTACATTACCTTCAAGGCCGAATGATATATTTTCTATTATGCAAAACCACACATTACATTCTTTTTTATTATAGCTATAGTCAGCCTGTCTAATTTTACTGTAATTATCAGTGATAATGGTAGTTGTGATGAAGCAACTCTTAGATCATCACAAGTTTGTTATAAAGATCCTGGTAGTAATAGAAATCCGTATAGTATAGATAGATGTGATGAACGGAATGTAGATTTTAATGGACGGATTGTATTTATAACAACAGGCATGGAATATAGACCTCTAGGATTATGTGAAGTAGAGGTTTATTCAGGTGATAATCATTTTTATATATTAATGAGTGGGGTGAATATTTTATTTGTCTATTTTAATATATAAACAAAAATGCAATGGGAAAGTGTTGAACGGCCCATTTGACCGATTAGGTATATTTCCCTATGTAGCCGCGAATCCATTCACCTAACAATTCACTACCCATGTTAGCTATATACAAATAATATATGTGAAGTTTGAAATGAAACATAAAAATAAAATTCGTAATTCATATATTAATTTGGCTCAACAGAAAAAAATATCAAATAAAATTCTCCAAATCCTGCACTTGTTTTCAAATAATGAATAAATTATGTTGTATATCTATTTGACATAGTATTTTGAAAACTACATCACGTTCGATGTTGTTTCCAATTCTAACACTCCGCCAAACCATTCAACCAGACGACGAAGGGGTCGTTTGTATCAAAGCAATATTCCCGATCAGGTTCCTAATAACCAAATTGTGCACGCAGTGGCGACATCAAACGACTTAATAATGATGGTTGCCAGGTAGAAGTGTCGCATTTCTAAATTTGTTCTATGTTCACGTTAAACATGTAAAGCGTCAATGAAGAAGACAGTTATCGCCTTAATAATAGAAATCAGATGAAATAGAATTAAAATTTACGCTGAAAAAAAAGGAAATTAGATTTTACATTATCTTAATTTTGAGATTACATGAACAGAAGTGGAAAATAGACGATGGCACGGCATTAACAAATTTAGAATTTTGAATCTAATATACCGCCATAATTTTACACCAAATACCGTAATGATTGTCTTAGTTATCATGTACAAAAGACCCTTAGACCTCCACCGTAAATATTTTTTGTACAAAAATAAAAACATTGACCATCCAATACCCAATATGAAATCAATTTTCAACCATTGAAATGACCAGGCATATTTTCCAAAACAGTCGATATTGACATTCTAGTCTAGTCTAGAATCCATTTATCTAACCACAAACCAATAAAGTTAGTACTATAGAACGAATATATTTTTAATGTCGAATGAACAGATTTTTGTTTTCCGGTCTAATTTGATGTTCCACGTCGAATAAGTTTAAATGAACTAACCGCTTACACCTAAATCAGGAGATTATCTAACATACATCTGTACTAATATTCTTAGTTTATGACCAAATATCAACTCCATTTACTTACCATCAGAATAAGATATACCTAAACAGAACGTGCTATATTTCTAAATTGTTTATACCGGTTGCAGCATGTCACTTTTGTATTTATTAAATAATAATATGATATTTATTAATGTTGACTTTTAATTCTCAGCTCGATGTTCAGACGGATATTATGAAACATCTAGAGGAAGTTGTACACGTTGTAACTGTGATGCGAGACCATGCGACCCTGATACGGGACGTTGTTTAAAGAAATGCGCTATAAATTGTAAGAATGATAAATGTGATGTTGATGGTAGATGTACAGATGGCTGTAATGTTGGATTCTATGGTTCTGATTGTATGGGCGAATGTAGCCCAAACTGTAAAGACAATATTTGCTACGGAATTGGCGTTTGTTCAGCTTGTAGAGACGGATTTTATGGCAATGTCTGTTCAAAGAACTGTTTCAATTGTAACCCGGGTGGTTGTAAAAGGATTAGTGGTGTTTGTATCAATGGATGTAAAGACGGATTCTATGGTGCTGGTAGAAGGTGTAAGAAAGAATGCCCAAATTGTAATCCAGGTGGATGTCAAATGAAAGATGGAGCTTGTATTAACGGGTGTAAAGATGGATTTTATGGTAGGAAATGCGAATTGAAGTGTTCAACATGTAAACCTGGTGGGTGTGATAAGCAGGGTGTTTGTACCAATGGATGTCTAGACGGGTTTTATGGAAGTGATGGACTATGTCTTAGAAAATGTTCAAACTGTCTACCAGGAGGATGTGATAAAGATGGCGGTGTTTGTATCAGTGGATGTATAGAGGGTTGGTATACAGATACATGTAATACAAGTTGCAGTAGTTATTGTCAAGGTGGATGTTATAGATCAAATGGTATATGTACAACATGTTATTCAGGTAGATATGGTGATTATTGTCAATATGAATGTAGTAGTTATTGTCAAGGTGGATGTGATAGATCAAATGGTATATGTACAACATGTTCTCCAGGTAGATATGGTGACTATTGTCAACATGAATGTAGTGATGGGTGTATTAGCAGCGTGTGTAGTTTGGATGGAGTTTGTTTATGTAAAGCATCATATTATGGCAATAAATGTGAAAGTAGTTGTTCGGATAAATGTTTCAACAGAACATGTCAACTTCAGCCAACATCTGGTGATCCGGTATGTTCAGATGGGTGTATTGATGGTTATACAGATTCGTATTGTCAAACACTATGCCCATATAACTGTGTAACATGTAACACTACTGACTGTTCTGTTTGTAAACCTGGTTGGTATGGTAAAAAGTGCCAGACATCTTGTCAAACAGGATATTATGGACATTTCTGCAACACCTCTTGCAGGACTACTTGTTTTGAAGGCTGTAGACCATCGGATGGATACTGTAATGCTTGTATAGTTGGTTATTTTGGACGAACATGTAATCAAACGTGCAGCAAGACTTGTGAAGGGGGGTGTAATAGAGATGGTAAATGTTTACGATGTTCAAAAAGCTTTTATGGTGACTACTGTGACAAGAACTGTAGTAATAATTGTATAGATTCGGATTGTGAAGGACCTACTAACTATCTAAAGTGTTCTAAAGGATGTGTTGAAGGGAAGACGAGGCAATATTGTGACGAAGATTGTCCTGACACATGTATTTACTGTGACCAGTCACGCAGAAATATATGTTCAGCCTGTAAAGATGGTTGGAGGGGATCTGACTGTTCTCAGTCTTGTGCTTTGTTATCTGAAAATTGTATTGAGTGTCACCAAGATCTACCACGTTGTTTATCCTGCAACTCTGGTTGGTTTGGAAAAAGATGCAATGAACGGTGTCCTACAGGTTGTCTTGATAATAGCTGTAATCTTAACGGGACTTGTCAGTCGTGTGCATCTGGTTATTTTGGTTACATATGTAGTAGCACCTGTCCTATAGGATGTTTAGATAATATATGTAATATGGATGGTACGTGTGAAGCTTGTAAACATGGACATTATGGAATAACTTGTGGCAAAAAGTGTAGTACCAATTGTAAGTCTAGCACTGGTTTAACTGTATGTAATATAACAGATGGTTCATGTATGGATGACTGTGGAGATGGTACATCTGGACATAACTGTACAGGCGGTAAGAAGATTTAGTATGTATTGCAAACGTTGTTCGCGACTGTGGGTATACAGTCAAATACAGTATAGCTTGTGTATATATTTAAACAATAAATATTAAACGATCATTTACGATGAAAACACACTGTTGTTTTGAATTAGATAACGGTTAAAAAGACTAAATTTCCAATGTGAAACGGTCACCGAAATACTTCGCGGTCAATGGCTAAAATACCCAAACGGGCGCTCCATTTAATTAGCTATATAGTGCTTTTTGCCATTGGCTTTACTCATTCGTGCTAGAAGGATACACGCCACCACCACTACCATCTACCCCACCCCCTTCTTTGCCACATTTATTAAATTTTCCTACGTGTCTGTGAATAGTCGGGACACAACCCCTAGATTCGTGACCATTTCTCCGGAAACAAAGTTTGGGGATGGTTCCTGATCGAAGGGATCCAACTACCATAAGTTGTTCCAGACATCCATGAAAATTATCCTATATAATATCACAGCTATTATAATGCATTATATTCTAATGTATTCCGCCGTATGACTCGGATATCCCAGAAAGCACGTGTCAATAGTCAGTGTGATCTGCCGGACTTGCGCACTCAGATAGAGAAGTAATGTTATTTAGGAAGTTATCGACTGACAAATTGTTGAAATACTGAATGGGACATCGAATGTGTATCATATAGACAAACACTTCCATTCACCACTTTCCAGCCATGTCCAAGAGGTGGTGGTGGATAATGGATGCTGTACTGCAGCTTGATGTAGGATTGGGAGGTCGCTCAAGTAGTATACACCTGATTCACACTACAAATTTGATGCTTCCAAGTCACCGAACAGGGTTTTTTTTATAATAATTGTGACCGCTTTAGAATGGGGGCATTCATAGTCATTTAAATTGGTATTGGCACTCACGCCCCAACACAATTAAGGATCAAATAGAAAGTATCTTACAAAATCTACCCTTTTTTGTTAAATATTGGCATGAATATTACCTATCGAATTACCTTCTCCACTGGATCCGCAGCTGCCTTTCTGGTTAATAACAGTTTGTTAAAACCATATCAATATCCCATTCCAAAATCCGCGCACCTACCCGAATCTACCCGAGAAGATTTTCACATATTTAGAGTTAGGAATGTCGAATAATTTGAAAACAGTAAAAATAGGCAGAAAAGAAAGAAATCGACAATAAAATTAGCGGAAAATAACGAAATCTACATAAGTTCATATTTTGGCAATAAAAGTACTTTATACCAAGAAAACAATATTGTCTTTCATGAACAATTCATCATTTTCTCAAAAACTGCTTTATATAGCTTTCAAAGGAACAAGGTAAATATGTTGCAGGGTGGTATTATTCAAATTTGTTCAAATGAAGTAGCATGCTCCATAGGTGTTGGACAGAGGCACCTTTAATAATTAGAAAGAGTTAATCATATCTTCTTTTTCTCCAGAATAAAATAGAACCAAGCTCGAACAATCCCACCATTAAACAAATTTCGAAGTCCTAACAACGGTATAGGCAAAATAATGTAATCCGCAAAAGGATTTCTTTTGAAATTTTACAAGAATCACCTTAAGATGACAAAGGTACACATTTGGTAAATTGAATGGACTGGACTCCATTTGGGAGGAGCAAGACATGGACATATTGAAACATTATTTAGACTAAGAACTCTGAAAGTGCTTGAAGTTTTTTTTATATTAATGTGTATAATATTAAACAGATTGCGGTTAATCAGTTTTGTTCAAATGAAGTTGCTAGCCCCAACAGGTGCTGGTCTTCGACACATTAAATGAGCAATTTTATGTACTTTTGACTTTCCTAAATTGTTTGATTGATTTCAACTACATTTAGAAGGTTTAATAGTCATGCAGGTTACAATAGGCTAATTTATATGTGGCAATTTTTTATCTAAAAAAGTTCATAAGATTTTACTAAAAGTTAATGACTTGCTAGAAAAGTAGCTCCCAATTGTTAGTGATACAGGAGGGAAAGTCTGGCAAGAAACAGCGTCTAGTGGGTCGGATGGGACCAAAGTTCGACAAAGTGTGGGCGAAACGCTTCATACTTGATGAGTGACTAAGTGAGTAAGACGCTGGTTCACTATGTTGAACTTTGAGACAAAATGATATCTTATTACCAATACCGTTTCTTTAACAGGAGAAAACTTTGCTTGTCCGAGTGGCTGGACCAGACACAATGTACAATGTATTAAAGCTGTAGCACAGATGTTAAACTGGGAAGAGGCGTCATTATATTGCAAAAGCCAAAAATCCGGCAACTCATCATCTCTAATTGAAATAAATAATGCGGAGACCAATAACAAAGTTAAAGGTATCAAGTTACCTGATTCTTTTTATACGCCCACATATGTTTATTTATTCGAAATGAAAAACCACATCCAAGCACCACCTCCCCATTTACATTCGGACGTTTGCAAATTTGTGAACACCATACTTTACAATGTCCTTGATATAATTTTTTGTTTTGGAGAGTTCATTCAGACATAAGGAAAATAACCTGCCGAATTTTATAATTTTCGGATCGTTATTTGCAAACGCGTTTTGAAGAGTTATCTTTTCGATAATATTTTCAGCTGTAATGTATGTTTACAGCGATACAGGACGACCATCTCGACAAACCCTTTAAAACTTGATGAGATTTTTATTTTGGGCCAAAGGAGGAATTCTATGGGATTGTTTATTTGTCGGCAGCAAATGGCTGCACTATTCCCGGTTGTCGTTCATTTTTATGAAAGCTTATAACAGGATAAAGCTGCTGATGGAATTTTAAGACAACTTGCTGAAATTGCTTAGCGTCTCATAAGAAAAACGATAATGAATGTCAAAATTTTTGGATCGTAGAATTTGACAAGATATTCCGATCATATTGACTGTTTACATTTTGCAGGATTTGATGATAATGGTTGGTTGTTTTTTAAAGAAAATCGAAACAAAACGTTCACTTTATTCTCTTATTTTACAATTTAAAGATAAAGCTAACTTGGACTTCGTTATTTTTTTTTTAAGATTTAGATATAAATGATCTTATATTAGGAAATTGTAAATATCCCCTCGCCCCTTAATGAGCTAGGTTACTCGTAATTTTATTTCTATTTTAGCTCTTATAATTGATACCGGTGTGGATTATTGGATTAACATTAGATCAACAATAAGTGCGAGAGAAAAAACTGCTATTACTCACGAGTATGGTTATCAACGAACAAGAGTTCTCTATTCTTACCTTAGCTGGAATCGGACAGAAACAAAAGTACAGGTATAAATACAATAGTTTAATGCACATTACACAGATTACCCGAGTATATTAACTGTTGCATCAGTATCAGTGAGAGGAAAACGCCCATTTAATTTAACTGATTTTTGCTATTGTCCTTGATTAATTTGCAACATCTTGTGTGGCCTCTCCCTAAGTAATTATTCTGATTTTCGACAAATACTTACTTAAATTTACCCTCCACAGGTTTCACAATTAAGAAATCCGGTGGTCGAAACAATTAAAATTGCAGAAGATAACCACAGTACATATTTCCAAACTAAATATCATATTTCATCACACTTTGAATGTATGGTAGACATATACGTATAAATGGAAATACGAGAATTCTAAACCGGGCCATGGATTAATTACTATTCAATGTATTTGTTTCTATTTGCACCGCCTATTATTTATTTTCAGAGTGGATATGTTAACTTTGAACAGTTGATGAGATCATATGAATACGTGGACACTGAAGATCGATGCGGGTATATGTCTGATGATGGGAAATGGCACGATGCTAAATGTAGAGCTAGGAAATCGTTTATTTGCAGTAGAAGTTTAGGTCAGTCATATTGCTATGTTCGGACGAATCATATGCCTAGCGAAGTTAAATAGTGGCGGGTGGTGGAGAGCGAGGTTTTTTAAAGGTTCCCCTATCGCCCGTGTGAACTTGTTTTGTTGCTCAACACATCCGTCCATTTCATTAGTTTTGCTAATGACAATTTCTCGGGTTTAAATATTTTTGCTTTTACAGGAATAAATTTGACTTACCTATTAGTGTATATTTACTATATATTGTATTTCAAAATGAAAACAATTCATCTTCGCGTTCACTGAAAAACATAATGAGGCAAGGAAACCAGTTGGTCCGAGTGCCCGGGTCTAACTCCATATAACGTTTTGCTCACCATCTATAATCGTGAGTATAATTGAATTATTTTGAGGTATATTAAAGATGATTATCTTATTATGCTGTCTAACAGATTGTGAAAGGGGGTATTATGGTTCAAACTGTGATGAAGTATGCCATTGTTACCAATCACAATGCGACCAATATACAGGAGTATGTGACTATGGATGTGAACATGGATGGATGGGATTTAGATGCGACCAAGGTAAATTATATTTATTTCCTTACTAAGAATCATGAATGTCTTAAATAGAATTGATTCTATACTGAAAATGAAGTTATTTCAATTCTACAATTTTAAAAATGTCGTGAATGTTAGGTACTCTGTTAAAAAGTGTAACTATGAATTTGATATCAATCTATCAACCCGGTAGTTCGGTCCAGTCTGCATTAGATTCTTTGACACGGAACAAGGACAATTACGGTATAATTTATAAAATTAATATAACTTCTAAGGTTGGATTTACAGTTCTTTGTGTTTTATTTGCATACATTTATCATTTTGTTGTTTTTTGTTTCAGTGAAAGTAGCAGCAGACGGTAGAAATTTCTATAATATAAATTAAAACTAATTACTTTCATTTAGTTATGTATTGAACAATTGATTGTCAGGTCTATCATTACTGTGATTTTGACTTATGATGGCGCATTTATAACAACTATTCAGGGAAATTAGAGACTTAAAAGCCACTAATCGTCAATTGCATTTTTGGGAAATGTATAAGTTTAACATCTTAATTCACGCTAAAATGTACCTAAAATGGTTATTTAACATTTAATTTATAAACCAAAAACCGCTATATCAACGGTAAATAGAGGCCCATCAAAAGATTTTTCACTACATTTTGAGCTGGCGCTGGAACGTTTATGTCATCTGTAGAGGATGCTAAATGTTTCAAAATGTTCAATTTATCTTATTTTTCTACATACTAAATGGAGCTGAATCATTGTTCAAATGATATTCATCCCGATAAGATATTCAACTATCACAATATTATGAATCTCTTTAAAGCTCTTAAATGAAGCTCAGCGGCTTAAATTATTCGTCAATGACTTATTTTACTTTTCCCAAAAATAAATGAAATTCAATGAAACTCTCGGCGTTTTGACTTCAAGGCGTAATCGAACCTAATGTGTCCCCAGCACCCCTTAAAATCAAACCTTCACATTTTCTCACAGCACTTAAACAGATATCCCCACAGCCTCTACATAAAATGAAATGTCGCCTTTTCTCCAAAATTTCATCTACACAGTCATATCAACAAATTGCGTATTTCAGTGGCAACCTACTGTGTTAATTCTCCAACCAAAGGTAAATATGCTCTGTTAAGAGTTGATAGAAAAAACGTAAAATATGACAAAATCTACATCATCAACGAATCACAGGATACATCATCATCTACACCATGTGATCAAGGAATGTTTAACGAGGATGTTGACGGTGTTTTAAACCTCAAGATATTAATTCAAGATGATAATACAACATCTCCCAGTTGTTACCATACAAAGGTACGTATACACAGTTACTATACAAAGGTACGTATAACAGTTGTTACTATACAAAGGTACGTATACACAGTTATTACCTTACAAAAGTGCGCATGCACGGTTGCTACTATACAAATTTGTTGATATACACAAACAGGTGCTTATACATGGCGAAGGTCATTGCTAATAGGTTTTGTTAATGAGTGTGAAAGTCAGAAATGTAGATAAGTTGCTTTTCAAAAAAACAGATTACGAGTGTCCAGTCCGAAATACAGCTCACCGCAGATTCGCCCAGTGGTGCACGAATGACATAAAACTGTTCGAACAACAAGGGCGCAGAGTCAAATGTGCCATCCACCACTATCATGGATAAGGAATTCCTCCTGTTCAGAGCCTCCTGTTGTTGTCCAGTCATCGAGTAGCTCAAGTTCAGCTAGGGAATCTGGAGACTTTGGTAGATGCCTTCTTACGTCGAACGAGACGTCTCACCACATCTGGATTACCCATAGCTGCCCGGACATCTGCAGTGGCCTCACGAGTGAAGTCGGAGAGTAGTTGTGCAGGATTAGCACGGCAAGTCGTTGCTGCTTGCTTCATCAAAGGCGACAATCTGAGTGCGGTCATGATCTGAATCATGGCTGTGAGGACCGGTCCGAACAACTCTTTGAATCTCCAGATCTGTTGTTATGGAGCCCTTGCATAGAGGGGATTGTCTCTGGGAACATTTCCCACCGCAGTGTACGTATAACCTCCATAACAGAGCTTGGAGCCGCCTTTGTTATTTTTTATAATTTCCATTAAAATGAATAGGGAACATTTTTGTTATAATTTCCATTGATTATGTTGAAGTATTCAAATGAATAGGGAACAATTCGGTTACGGCAATACTATATACCGGAAACACCGGAAAACACAGGAAAACACAGAAAAACACCCGAAAAAAAACGGAAAACAACCGGAAAACACCATTTTATACTGAATCCCGGAATACACCGGAAAAACACTAAATACCGGAAAACACCCTAAATAGGTAACCCAGAGCCTGGTCCTCTGTCTGCGGTTTTGGACCAAGTGAGCGCCGATGAAGGAAGGTCAAGGTCATTACGGTGTTCGTCTTACAAATAGCCCCCCCCCCCCACACACACACACACACACACCCCAGAAATTTTCTGTCACAAAAAAAATTCGAATTTTTCCGAAAAATTGGTTTTACAAAAAACATTCCGTAGAAAAAAAATTCAGAGAAAAATACTGGAAAAAAAATTTGAATTTTTTTTTGAGAGAAATTTGCCAGAAGAAATTGTTCAAAAAAATCTGAAAAGAAATTTTTCTTTGACCGTAGGCGATCGCTCGCTTGTATGTTAATGAACTTATTTCATCCGCCCTTACCTGGTCCAAAACCACACACAAGGACCAAACTCCGGGTTACTAAATAGCTACCGGAAAACTTAGAAGAGTAAACTGTGCCCGAGATTTTTTTTTAGAGAGCGCGCCGCTCCGTTAGGGATCATCGTCAGGGTGGGACGGGGGTGGAATTGTCCAGTCACGTGACGAACATAGATCTTCCGTTCCTCAACCCATATTATTTCCACAGTCATTGTCATTAATCACAAATTACGGGATGATATACGAAAATGCAGGTTTACTTTGAAATAGTGCAAATTATACTTTTCCATCTACAATCTTTAGATCAAAGGATGCAAGTTCTTACACAGTGCAGCATAATTTGTACAACAGAAGACATCTCGAATATCGATTGTCTGAAAAAACATTTTCTCGGGGACATTTTTTTCCGAATACGCATTCGGTGTAAGTCTTCAGCCACCAGGAAGTGGTTAACATAGTAATGTTTTATTACGATAGTAGTACATAAAACAAATTGGTTGCCTGAGGTTCTCGGGGGAAAGTAGCCTCATCGGCTAGAGTCCTCTATTTCACAAACAAAAACAACAATCGCTTCCTTGAAAATTTATCGATCAACCCTTTTCACAGACGTCCAGCTTACCGCTTCCCGTCAATGCAGTAAGATAGAATATATAGTTTTCTCATGGACAATTGGGCGAAAGTTGGGGTTTTCTCAAGGAAAACTGGTCAACAAGTTGGGGAAAAAAGCTCGAAAAGTAATCCAGAAAAAACTTTTGTGTGCGGCCCTCGGAATATGATGGAATATGTTGAATATTATTATAGTTCAAGTGATTATATTTGACCCTGGAATGAAAGTAAGCTCAGAAACAAGTAGATGTTTAGCCCTTCCAACGAGATGGATAGCTCTTGAAAAGGATAGACACTTTTCAGATTACAGCCTGTCCGAGAATTGCGTGGCATACATTTCGTTTGGTGATTAGGACACATAGCGGTTAAACCTGGAACTTCAACTCGAACTATTCAGAGATTTATTAACTCGCTTTTGATGATACTTGCTGTTTTATGATGCGATTTTTGTTACCTAGGGAGGAGTTGGCCTAGTCGGGCCTTCCACTAATTCGTACCACCCTGATGCCAGCGTTACTGGTAAGAATCAGGAGACCGGCGCAGACGGCATATAATGGGGCCCTCCGAGGGCAGTGTTTAATCTACTGAAATACTGAAACACTGAAATCTACTGAAATTTACTGAAATTTACTGAAAACTAAAATTAAAATACAAAATAAAATATGGTCAATGAGGTAGACTGATTGCTTCTTTTAAAATATTCAAAACATAATAGGCATCAACAAAATTTTGGAGACAAAAAATCGGAATTATTTTTTTTTTTTTGGGGGGGGGGGGGCTATTTGTAAAACGAACATCGTAATGACCTTGACCTTCCTTCATCGGCGCTCACTTGGTCCAGGCTCCGGGTTACCTACTTAGGGTGTTTCCGGTATTTAGGATGTTTTCCGGTATTTAGTGTTTTTCCGGTGTTTCCGGTGTTTTCCTGTGTCTTCCGGTGTTTTTCGGTATATAGTATGGCCCATTTGGTTATTTGCATTTCATTTGAATGATTACAATATCTGAGGCTATGTTATTCCTAGTAAAAAGCAGATTGTGGTATGTTAATTGTGTGGTCAATTGTCTTAGTTGGTCATCATATTTTATTTTTTAAATAATAATATTTTATTTTTTAAATAATAATATTTTATTTTTTAAATAATAATATTTTGTTTTTTAAATAATAATATTTTATTTTTTTAAATAATAATATTTTATTTTTTAAATAATAATATTTTATTTTTTAAATAATATTATTTTATTTTTTAAATAATATTATTTTATTTTTTAAATAATAATATTTTATTTTTTAAATAATAATATTTTATTTTTTAAATAATAATATTTTATTTTTTAAATAATAATATTTTATTTTTTAAATAATTGGGTTTTTTTTCAGAAATAATAAATAAATGAAATAAATGAAATAAATTAATAAATGAAATAAATTAATAAAAAAAAATATAAATAAAAAGGGGGGGGGGGCTTTTTAATTTAAGTCCAAGGGGGTTATGACCTAGGGGGTTTATGATAAACTGTCCAACCTCGTGGGTTTTCTCTGGGTTCTCCGGGTTCCTTCCACTGCTAAAGACCTGTGCCGACTGGACGTTACCCTCCTCTCTCTCTCTCTCTCTCTCTCTCTCTCTCTCTCTCTCATAAACTGTTACCAATAAATTGTTCCTTTAACAGACAGACAGAGGAGTTTTTAAATGGGCATTAAGAACAGAAGAAGTGTCTGGTTTCTTTAGTTACTATGACAGATTATATGAACTGAGTTGTGATTTTACAGCAGCAGAAACTCTGTCAAGAAATAACAAACAGGCTATAAGTGGGTAAGTTTTCTTTAAGGGGTTTCATTAATATTAGATTATTTTCGGGCTCTTGCCACAAAAAATAAATAACCCATGCTGCAATTGTTTCACAAGCTCGAGCTCGACCATACCTTCTAAATACGTAATATCAACTTTAGTACATTTACTGGAATTACTTTCTAGTTTGCTTAATAAGGCGAAGTTGGTTTTGTTAATTCCTGATAACATTTTAGGTGAATTACTGAAGCAAAAATAAGATTTTGAGTAAGGATCAAAATTTATAAAGTGCACATTGTGTTTTATTTTTTGTTTTGCTGTTTTCTCCCTAGTATATATGAACCCAGCAAAGTAAACATCACCCAGACTACCGAGGACGTCCAGCTATTCATTCAGAACCCAGCAACAACCAGTCGTGTTTCTCAAGTACAGATTGGCTCCAGAATTCAACTGGCAATGCTATTAAATAAACGTGATGACATAACAGCCTCTGGTCAGTAATCCCTTTTTTTGGCACGGATAATTGAGCCGTGATTAGAAATGGAAAATAATATGTATGTAGTTTACGAGAATTTCACTGTCATTATCTACTAATAAATGTATACTTTTGTAACAGGTATTTCACCATATAAATGTTCCTGTTCTACACCTGATGGGAAAACAATTCGTCAGCTTACAGACTCTAATGGGTGAGACTAATTTTAAATAATCGATTTTCCTAACAAAATAAATTACTATCATATAAAGTCAAGATGTTTAGTAAATATTTCTTTCGGTGGTATTTTAAAGGCTTCTTATAATAAGAAACGAAAACCACGGGCACTTGAAGTGGTTACAATAATGTGTCTAATCTGTACTATTTCAGTTGAGACAAGGTCAAATAAACCATCATTTCACCATGGCTCATTGAAGATTTTTCTTACCAGATTATCTCGCAATTTATACTTCACACTTTTACCAATTTCCCTCGTTTTTATTGAAGAGTAGGCTTTAATTGATCCTTACTGTATCCAATGCCAATAAAATGGTTATTGTATTAATTACAAATGAAACTTGAAGGGATATGATTTTCCGAAAAGCATCATCGTTGAACCAGAGTGGACACGATCCCAGCCCGGCATATTTACACGACTAAGCATTTCTTGCTGATTAATGTGTGTGAATAAACCCAAATCTATATTCTTACTGGAGAGAGCAGTCTGTAGGGAGAGTAAATTGCATCACTTCCGGTTTAATGAAAATAATTACTCGCTTATAAAACTTGTTTGCGCGTGTCGCGGATGATTATTTTTAAATATATATTTTAAATGTATAGAAACCTGGTGGAAAATACACCAATTGGTTCTAAATAATGATTTAATTTGCTAACAGATGTACTATATCGAGAATCTCCTACGATTCTTTTTTTATATCAAATATATCAACACATGACGATAATGTAAAATAGAAGACGCTTTGCCGAGTTTGATTTTTACTTTATCGACGAGTGTTGATATCAAAAAGACGAGTAGGAGATTTTATTTATCACCCTTACTTACATGAAAAATAAATAAATAAAATTCTTTAGTATAGATTTCATTTCATGTAAAGCGACATCTCCTTAGGAGATATCGCTCAGTAGATTATAACACACGAGATATCTACTTCTACTGTAGAATACTCATTGGGTGATACAACATATTAATGAAACCCGACTTAATGACTTAAAATTTTGTCGTAAATTATTATTTGAATCCGAGTTAACTATGGTCGAAATTAACCAAGTTAACTACTATCGAGGTTAACCCCGTCGAAGTTAGCAGTGTTCACGTCTGATACTTTGATCAAGAAGAACATTATGTTCATGTCACACGCCTTCTTGATGGGCCATGTGGAAGAGCCGGTAAAACCATTAAACTTTCTCGTGCGAAATTACTCCTCGAAATTTATATATTTGAACTATTTAAAACTTAAAAAAGCATATTCGTTTTGTAGATTTAGAAGTACGTTCATTTTTGAATGTTATTTCAGATGTCCTGTACCGGATTCTCCTGTATTTGCTCTAACCGGAAGTAATGACTCATACCTTACATCCAATGTATTTGATGCTTTCGCAATTAAAGGAAGTTTAGGTCTCATCTTCACTTGTAGTTTTGAATTCTGTTTTGAATCAAATGAAACGAAGTGTGCTGATGTAAGTTTTTTTTTTAATTTAGGAATCTGTATAGTTTTATCATACTCGACTTTTCATTTAACACGATAGCAGTGGCTAGTGTATGGGTTGCAATGTTTCTTATGTGGTGAGTCCACTTATCCGTTGCTCCTCGTTTTCGACTCTGTCCATCGGACTTGATATTCTTACTAATAATTAGGACAATAGATATATCGACAGATTGATAAAAAGCTTTCCAAATTTGTATCCCTAATATGTTCACGATTTGATAGCTGTTTATGTCCTAGAAATGCAACCTATCGATAATGCATGTCGGTCAACTACTTTGTGCACACCTTTGGATACATCAGACAAAAAAAGGCTAGTGTGTTGACAGAGGATTTATCGGTAACTATGATTACTCATTGTGATGTTGAGTGAAAGGGGCGTTAGATATATATATTGTTAATAAGTAGGTATGTTGGTAGTTGGTATATTGGGGTTTTTGTTATCAAATAATGGACGAAATCACGCATACTAATGAAAACCCATTACGTTCATGTATTACAAATCTTGTTTTAATTGTTTACCGTAAATCCGGTGCCAAAATTATTTTAATTTGGTTGATTGGGAATGGGTAGCAAATATGCCAAAGGTGACTGTTCAATTTTCTCGCGTAGAAACTGTGTGATTTGATGATATTTGGACTAAAACATATTCAAAATAAGTTTGCCTCAAATCACCCTCTCAAAACATTTAATCGCAAGAAAACTTACCCATGCTACAAGAATCTATTTTAAGCAGCCGTGTTTGTCAAGTAACTTGATTCAAGGAGAATTTGTTTGCCAACTTGTCTTTATCGTTAGTCGCTGTCCATCGGCCATACATAAATGTCTCTCCTGTCCATATATCGATATACCAAATATACCATACATTTGTAACTACGAAATAAATAAATACTTTCGTGCGAATAGATCTTCAAAAATCCATACATTTATAACATTATGTTTCTTTTTAATAGTAATATCCTTAAATGCCTTCTTATTACTATTATTAACTGTATATTATAGAGATGTGGTGATTTCCGAAGTCGATCCTCACTCGAGATCAGATCTAGAACAAAACGATCAACAAATGAGAATAGAAAGAATGGTCAAGCATCAGCTTATTTACTGTTGATACCAAAAACACAGAAGGACAAACAAACTGGTAGGTTATAGTTTTCCCACAGATTGGTCAAATACGATATCCTGGGGTAGTTGTTCAGTAATTTAGATAAAATTAAATTTATGATTCGATTGAAGTGATGTAAATTTGGTTTGCAGTTAATTAAAATTTATATAAACATAAAGATATTTCAACATAATTCGGGATCATATATATGCAAGAATCTTTGAACGGACGGTTAAATAAATGAGTGATAATGCAAATAGAACTTTTTTATCTTTTAAATATTTTGATAAAGCATATAATTTCCATACATTTTTAATAAGTTAAGATAATGCATATAACTTTCTTAAATTTTAAGTACTTTGATAATGCATAGAATTTTCTTATATTTTAAATATAACTTTCTTAAGTTTTAAATATGTTGATATTGCATAGAACTTTCTTTTAATATTTTCATACATTTTTAATATGTTCATAATGTATAGAATGTTCTCCCATTTTTAATATGTTGATATGCATATACCATTCTTGCATATTAAATATGTTGATGATGCATAGAACATTTTAACATTTTAAAATTCGTTACCTTTAGACTATGTTCACGTTGTTCATTTTAACCATTTATTTGATAATGGAACTCAAACTATGACCCCCACACCCAATTTAGTCTGCTCGATACAGTAGAAGTAATGTGTATGTCATTATTCTCCATTACAGATATGAATAACCTCTCTGTAGACTCTGATGGTACCGTTTCCAAACACGTGACTGTTATAACTGGTTCCATCTTGGTATTGGTACTGTGTGGAGGTTTGGTCGCTGTCGTGATGCTTGTACGATCTAGTCGCACTAGAACTGTTATGAAACAAACCAATGTAAAAATAACGGAATAACTTTATAAAAGAAAGTTGAAATAAAAATTTAAATATTATCAATAGTATCCAGACTATCATGTTAAAATCTGTAATTTTTACTTCTTTCTTATCGATAGTTAATTTGACATGAAAAAATTTATGGTGCTTTAATAAATTGTACAATGTCATTATATTAATGAAGATCGGACATGTGTTTAATTATATGTAGGTTCAAGAATTTTATTGAAAATTGGAGTTTTACTTCCACCAAGGTTGATATCGTAGACAATATTGAGAATGAAATTGTCAAGTATAAGTTCAATAATAATAAACATAACAGAATGAAACATTTCAACCAAAGAGCGAATAGTAATAATAATAACAAAATCAAACATATAGATGTTATACATGTATTGAAATTAGATTTTGATAATACAGTTAAATATAAAGGAATTAGAAATATTATATACATTATTTACATGAGTTATTCAGTAAATGGGCATGAATATGGTTAACTACCCTTATAAAAACGAACGCGAAACGAAGGCCGTTTCATTAGTAAGACTGGTTTGTAAAGTGTTTTTTGATTGGTTCGTAGACTTTAGCTACAATCAAAGCCAAGACAGATTATTTGAATTCGTGGAAACCCTATGGAGTAAAACGGAATGAGATCTCTGGGGATACCGAGGATGGGAAAGAAAAAGCGCTAGTGTAGGGAGACCGGGGACTGCGTAATGGCAGCGTATAGTGTCATTCGTCTGGATGTAGTTACATGTATATAAATGTCGCATGCCAGAAAGCTACAAATTGTAGCTGATATTATAAATAATTGCATTTTGATAGTTTATTTAGTTTTTGGTTGCTGTTGTTATTGTTTAATTTTAGCTACATTATTTTGAATATTAAACTATATTAGGGTTTTTTTAAATAAAAAAATTGTATTCATTGTTGGGTGGTAGCCTATATAGTAATATTGTTGGTATAGTGGTGGTATGCTGTGATGTTGGTTCATTGTGTAACTTTATTTGTATTACTTTTGACTTGTAGCTAAGCTTATCTACTCTATTTTAATTGTTTAATTTTGTTTAGTGCTTAATTTTCGCTACTTTATTTTGAATATTAAACTACTTAGCTTTTTTAATAAATATAGTTTTCATTATTGAGTGACATAATAAATATGGTAATGTTGGTAAATTAGTGGTAAACGGTCATATTGATTCAACATGTGGAGGCGTGTGGCTTCGTTTTATTTTTATTACTTATAAATTGTAGCTAAGATTATCAAATGCATTTTAATTGTTTTATTTTGAAAATTAAACTTAATTGTTGTTTTAGAAATGTTGTTGTCATTGTTGGGTGGAGTATGGTAATGTTGGTATAGTCGTAGCATGCAGTAATGCGGTAACGGTATGTGGCATGTTGGGGTATTTCACATTTCAGATTATGGACCCCCCAGAGCTCACAATTTTTATATGATTTTAAAAACCGTTCATATATATCACCGTTACACAATAATTGTAGTTAAGTTCGAGCTTCGCGAAAATCGGATCGAAATTTCCCGTCAAAATGCCCCCCCCCCTTTTACGCAAGTAGTATCCGATTTTAAGGTATGTTTATATCCCATAATTATGGATTATGATCCCTAATTTTACGAGAAATCGCGTTTTTAGCCCGTGAGCAGCCAATCGGTCACAATGTGTCCGATTTTGATCAAACTTAACACATGGGTTGTTAATTTATGTCCAGTTATTTATGAAATACACTTAAATGAACACTATGGAAACACTGTATTTTATACAACATGAGAGTTATATCATGGTCACTGCCAATTATTCTGTTAATACACTGTAGACTGGAGCATATTATATAATACACAGTAGACTGGAGCATATTATATAATATGTTGTAATCAACATATTATTCAAAGACAATTTTGATCCCTGCTATTGTTCTCATGGGGGATTAATCAAGCAAGGGGTTATCGAATACAATGGTGTTAAAAGTATAGTCTGTTTTTTTAAACTACTAGGTTTAACAACTTTATTCACAATAAATTTCATAAAAGTAACAACAAATACATGTATCAAACATAAATCATAACCCTACTAAATGTGATATGGCGTCAGTATATTCAATTGCACTTTTTACTCCATTTAACAGTTTGATTTTTAGATCATTAATAGATTCTTCTACTCTTTTATATTTTCGTCTTTTAGGGGGCAATCGTCCCCCGTTATCCAATTGAACTATTGTATTTTCAGTAAAAGTCTGCTGGTGCTATTGGGTTTCGTATTTTTTACTCTGTACTTATACCCCAAATTAACTAAATTTTGACCTCCTTGAGAATTAGGAATAAACCCTATGCGAACTTGAGCCATTTTAAAAGATATAATGTAATTGGGGGTGACAACTATCCTTATATAATGATAGTGAGTTTCTAATCATATATTTTATTTGATTTATGAGTACTGTCTGAATGAAAGGTAGGTGAATAATATTTAAGATACTCGTTAACCGATGACACATGAACTTAACTTATATATTTTAATCATTAAAATAATTAAATTTTAACTAGGTGAACAGTACTAATAAGGATACAGTCTCTAATCCTTTGTTTACTTAAATTTTCACACCACTACCCTATACCACCAGTTGATTGGGGGCACAGTGAGATTAAACCCCTGCTCACTGCCTCCAATTTTAACTGATTAGTTTTGAAATTACGGGGAAACAACTGCCAGACTGAGCTATGACAGACTTGTGAATTTATCTTGTTTAAATACTCCTGTTAAGCCGTTGCAATGTTTTCTAAACTCAATCCATTCCATATACTTAAAGATACATTATGGGAGATTAGATAAAGAGCTGACAGTAAAAACTAGATAATGTAAAGGAAATTTGCTGAAAATTTCAATCAAATTGATCCACTCTAAACCGAGAATTTAGTAATTAAATTTTCGGCCTAGCTTAGATCATTATTACTAAAGTCGGTACGATAATATAAACATAATGTCGATTATCCATTTCATGATTAAATCATAAAAAAAGTTGAGCAGCAAATAGGACCCTAATCCAGTAAATATCACAGGCTAGCGATGACATCGAGGGTTGATTATGGTCTGGATAAGTTAATTAATGTCTAATTGATAATTTAGATAATATTTCAGGCCTAAATAAAATCCTGGAATAGGCAGATTTAGCTCTTGTATAATGTATGTTTAACAGCCAGGAAAGTTGAACGATTGAGGAAGAATGATGTTTTGAAGTTAATGATACAAGATAATAACAACATATCAGAACAAAGTGTCAGTCCATCTTGTTATTTTAAATCAATCTAAGATATAAGAATTGGGTTCAGGTTTAATACCCAAATATTACACTGACAATTATTGAACAGTTGATACTTCATAAATAGTTCTTGGGTCAATAGGGTTTCAAGTTGTAATTGATTTGGGTATTCAAGTAGGAGCAGATTGGTGGATGATATTTGCTCTCTTGATTGGTGGTTCTTTTGCCTTAAGTTTCCTTCTGCCAGTCAAGTAGCTTTAGACTCATTAAGCTTATAGTTTGTGGGGATATTTGCTATGCTATTCAAAATACCCCGACAGAGTGGTTAAGTAAAACGGGGCCGAAATAATTTTGCACGCTGTGTTTTTATAGTTTCACTCTCTAAAGGGTGTAACCTTATTCAGTGATGATCTCGTCCTTTCAATGAGTCGATCGATACATGGTTTGACTCGATGGTGCATGAAGCTCAATTGAAAAAGCATGAGTTCATTTTTCATTGTGGAACCTATTTTGTAGCTGTCGGTATATGATTTATTACATGAAATAAATCATAAATCATCCCACCCCACCTTGACAATTGTATGGGATGGGGGTGCTGGGAAGGAACAGCGTCTAGTTGTTCGGTTGTGACGGGGAAAATGGGGTTGGCGTTCTCGTAAAAGAATCCTTGACCGTTGGAATTCAATTGCGGTGCAGGTAAAATGACCGCATAGCACACTGCATGTCGCATGTCTGTCTACATTAACCCTATTGGAGCAGAAACGTAGGACGAAAATCCATTTTCATTCGTCTTCAGTATTATTATCAGCTCATCCACCTGTAGTAACTATCCTGTCTTATTCTGTATATATCAATTCAAATGGCTTGTGGTGGTTTACATAGTAATCGATGCACCAACCTATAGTGTAAAATTATTGTTTAAAGCGTTAGAAAAAGGAATGAAAAACTTTTACCAGTTATAAAACATATTATAAATATGTTACAAAGAGATTGAAATTAAAGAGAAAACTGGGTTAAAGGGATCTCCAAAATTGATGACTTGTAATAAACTAACAAAAGATAAATTCAATACAGAGATAATACGATTAGCTTTATTGTATCATTATTACCAGAACGGTTTTAACTTTATCCGAGCTGAGTTATTAACTTTTGTTGTGTTATTAGTCTTCATTGTTTGACGGTCATAAACTGTTATTCTTTGATGTTGAAATATGGATTATAAAATATCATTATTTTAGCTTTAACTAAGATTGAGAGCAAAGTGTAATGGCTACTGAATAACAGTAAAAATGATAATATTCTGATAAAGTGAAATAGCTGCTGAATAACAGTAAAATGATATTATTATGATAAAGGAAAATTGATATCTTTATTGTTTGTCATATAAACACTGATAGTCTCAATATTAATGCAGATTAAATATGGTTCGTGACCGACTTCAAAACAAAATAAAAAGATTATTCGCTCTTTCCTCCGTGGTTATTATATTGAACATTAAGCTGTTTATATGAAAATGATTTTGGCGCCTGATCAATAGCCCGGCAGAGGGTGGGGGGGGGCTATATTGTTTGAGAATGTTACTCGGGATTTTCTGTCACGGTGTTGTCGGATTGCTTCGTGTAGTTGTTCGAAATGCACAAAAAACCAGTCCCAAATGACATTGGCGTGCTCGTAAAAACAACAGAGCCGCAGACAAATTGTCCAGTATAGCAAACGTTCGTGCAGAAACATACTAGGATGTTATACCCCATTTCACTTCATTTAATTTATTGGATAAAGAGCTGGCAGCTTTCACTATAATGGTGAAAAACGAGATAATGTAAAGGAAATTTGCTAAATATTTCAGTCAAATTGATCCACTCTGAACCGAGATTTTAGCGACTCGATCATCATTACTAAAGTCGATACGATAAAAAAAACATAGTCCCGATTATCCATTTCATGATTAAATCAAGAATGAAAGTTTAGCAGCAAATGGTGTCCTAATCCAGTAAACATTGCAGACTAGCGTTGACATCGAGAGTTGATTATGGTCTGGATAAGTTAATTAATGTCTAATTAATAATTTAGATAACATTTCGGGCCTAAAGAAAGACCTGCAATAGGCAGATGTAGCTCTTGCATAATGTATGGGGTTTTTTTTAAAAAAAAAGAAAATTTAAAGCATTGTACGATTAGAATGAATACACCCTAACCGTTTTCCATATTTCTGTTTAACAAAACCGAGCGCTTAACAATGGTCTATTAACAGTATTTTTGGGGATTAAACAAAAATATATATTTTGTTATATGTAATACCATGGTCTGGATGTTCTCAGATAAAATTGAGTTATCGCTCCGGCAACAGATAGTCAATGATGGCGATATGGTAGCAGTAGTATGTAATTTGAACTCTTTAAATAGCAGTAACTGAATTAATTTAGGGTTGGGCCAAGATTTTTTTCATTAAGACTACTTTCTATTATGCATTACTGACAGTCTTTTTGTGTGTGTGTGTGTGTGTGTGTTTTATGCTTGGTAACGACTTGTGAAATCTTTTTGAAACGTCGCAGTGAAATAAACCATAGTAATTGTTATCCATAAATAGTGTGTTGTTTGAGTCTTTTTATAAAATACAAATATACTCATCTTTCAATATCTATGGAAAATTTAGAGTATCGGATACCATCGAGGGTTGATGGTCTTTGTAATTTAATTCATAAATTATTACAACATTTCAGGCCTAAAGAACACCTTTAATAGGCAGATTTAGCTTTTGCATATGCCCCTCAAAATACATTGTAAACCATTTCAAACTTTTCGATTTGAACCAAGATTACTCTGTATATTTAATACTGACAGTATCTTAAACGTGCCTTTGCTCCCCTGTGATTGATTATATTTTATTAATGTTTGTCAGTATCTCAAGTTCTATATATAAAAAAGATCAAATGTTTAATTGTATTGAATCAAAGTCAACAATTGATAAGAAATAACAATAAAATCTACTTTATATTCCGTGTATCTAATAAATGAACAATAAAGATTAAAATAACGATAG